ATATCACAAACGTTAATAGTATTTTAAGTTAACAATTACACTTAATAATTTATGACTCATATAAAAAAAATAGTTAATCATACTAATATCAAAATTCAAAGTATAACAATAACTTACCTATACAGATTTTGAAATTATTTACTTACAATAAAATATTTTACAATTTGGATTAGTTAAATTTACATCGATTTAGACTTTTAGTAACTTTTGATACCTATACTTATTTTTAGTTATTTGTGAAAATGCAGGTATATTTCAGTTGAACTGTGGCACCTACCAACATTATAAAAAACTTTATATTATTCTTATTTTTGGGGAGGTTATAATATATTTCTTTGAGAATAAATTCCAGAGGTTGTGAATATTTTGTTTTATACCACTTAGAAAGAGTTTTAACCAAATTCACAACATTTATTACATACATAAGTTGATTTTGCGCTCTCTCCTTGGGAAATAAAATGAGTTTACAGACCTAGGTCAGTTCGATTACAATATGTTCTTCGGAATTTCCCAAACTGGTGACGGATTCCTGATTTGCTGTTTCACTACTTTCCAAACGTTCCCTCGATTTGCGCTGCTCCGTTCCATAGCCCCTCCCCCCGATCTGCATAAAAGCAATGCAATCTGGTCGGGGGAGCAGCGGAGTGGGGCAAGCAGATCGGGATAATCTTTTGGCAGACATAGTTACCAGGAAAGTTGCCAGACAGTGCTGAAAAGATGCTGAAAAACCAGCACCTTCCCCCATTTAAATACCCATTTAAAATATCTACATTTAATTGCACAAGCTGGCAACTTTGTAACGCGGACAGCCCTCGTCGCCGTTTCCCAAAGATTATCACACTCAACTTTCCTAACAGACTGACCTGGGTCCATTGACCGCGAATGACCAGAAAAAATGGCCAAATTATACATTTACAATTAGAACGGACACTGCGAACTTTGGAATTGATACCTAGATCAGTGATTCATTTACGTGCGGGGTAAAAAAGCTTTTGTAAATTTATTATTTTAATTACCTATGGAGAATCAAAGAAGGTGGAGGAAGTTGTGTATTCAATCCCATCATTGATAAACTTAGGTGACTAAAATATAATTGAGTCTAGTAGGACATTCAGTGCCCGTTTTTACCCTAATCACTCTCAATTGAGCTGAGTTTTAAAAAAAAAAAAAACAATTTCTCCACGTGTTTTTAGCCATCAACTTGTGAGATTTTGCCTCTGACCGATTCACTGAAAAATTTTGTACTTGTTCATAAGTATTGGCACCAAAAGCACTCTTTAAGCGCAGTATAATATCAAAATTTGAAACCGAGCAAAGGGGTTCAATAACTAAATCATATTATTCACTGGTAATGGTTTTTAACGTAAAGAAGCAATTTATACATCTTAATTTGAACTTCTAATCTACCTACAGAAGTTTTGAGCAAAAATTTTTAGCATTGCAACAAGTTTCAAAGGTCGCTGAGTTTAGTCGTTCCGAAAAATAGAAGACTTAAATTACTTATGTTGACCAGCGGTTTTTTTAAATTTACGGAATAGATCAGACAATCCATTGAAATTCACGGCACGAGCCTATTTTCTAGGAAACACAAAGTCGTGAAAGAAATCCTCTTCGTTTAAATTCTACAGATCCAATCAACTGAGAACGTTTTTCATTTAAAGCACTCCAACATGATCAAGGTTTAAAAGGATGAGAAGTGTTCATAAATCAAGGAGTTAGGAATAGATGAGGTAAAAATTTGCATTTCGAGGAAAACGCGTTTAAAATTTAAAATCATATGGAAGCTTGTGGCACAAAAAATTAACTTTAAATTCCGATAATCGAAGCGATAAGATGTTCTATGGTACCTATCACCGACTACGAGTCTGACTAAGTAAGTATTACATCAATGATTTCCAAATAATTTGTAACTCCTTCGTATGTTATATTTTTTAGATCAAAATAAATCAAACAAATTTGGAAAGTAATTGATGATAAGGTACCAGATGAGAAATTTTGAAGGAAGAAGAATAGAGGGGGGCACAAAAAATTTACACTTTACAATTCCGTACTACTGCCCAGTCACTCTAAAAATGATGGAGATCTCTCTGTTAAACGAAGCAGATTGATGCGCTATCAGGCGCCATAAAAGAGGACTACACCCAGATACCTCGGTTATTCGAGAGGGTTAGTTCTCTATTCCTCCGCTTGAGTGCGTAGGCCGGCACTCTTTTTCAGAATCTGTGCCGAGTACGAGTACATAGCTACCACCCCTTTTCTAGCCCCGATCTTCTCAAAAATATCTCTGCCTTTTTCATACTTCATTCACCTCTGTAAAACCAGCTTTTAGAGGAGGATTTAAAAATTTGTTAACTTCCAAATTGGGATTAGAAAGGCGACATACATCTTTACTCGTATGGTATCTTGGGTACGAAGGTGTGTGAACAATTCTTCAATGAGCTTGTGATCAAATAATCTACATCTTAAAAAGGGCCCTTCGAGTAGCAAGGCCGTTCCTATATTCTCAAGATCGGGTTGTGCTTGGGATTGTGCCATTTAGTACTCCATCTGAGATTAGTTGGGACTTGAATATTAATTTTCCAATTTGCCAAGTTGATAGTAATTTGAAAAGTTCGAAATTTTCTCGTCTTTTTTGAGAGGTTGTAGAGCCTTAAAGAAAAAGAAAAGCAGCAGAAATCCTCTCCTTTGTGCATTATCCTGGATCATCTAATGTCAAAATTGATTTTCCCTTAGATTTTGAATTTTGATATCTATATTAAAAATACCTATTCGAGTGATTGCATCCAGGCATATACAACGTGTTAAAATTTGTAACAAGGTCTAACAATAAAAAATATACCTAACTAAAAGACGATACAAAGCTTCTTAGAAGCTACCTTTACGCGACCCAAATTGGCGAAATTGTTGCTCCTTTTATCGATGGATGCGCATTTTTTGATCAACCGCAGGGTGGTCACGGACATTTAGAATTGGGATTTACCGACTGTGAAGGATTTTCACATCAAAAATACAAGAATGTGTAGGTACATATCTACTTTGAGAGGATTCCCTGCCTGTGGAGGCATCTACTGGGGAAAAATGGAAAAACGTCAGATTTTTAGATTCGGCCTGGAATTGAGCTGAAGCAACAGGACACGAAACAAAACAATTTTCCACTTTTGTACCCGCAATTTTTCCCATGCTTCTGGGTCATCCTGAGTTTCCCTTTTTTTTACATGACCCATTTAAAATCTTTTACTTTTTTCAATTTTCAGTGTCTTCCTTGACCATGACCACCCTGTTCGCTGAGTAATTCGTAAATAAAAAAATTAGATTTAAAAAAAAGGAAAAAAAAAAACTGTTACTCGTAAATTTGCAACGTACTTATTTAACGTAAAAAAAGAGAAGAAAAAGGTATTTCAAAGCGTTTACATGTAAGTAAAATACAAAGTGAATGGATATAGCATGTTAATTTTTTCGTCCTGATCGTCGTTCATTACTCGCATCTTTAAAGTTGCGTTACGACACTTCACGTCACAGCACAGCAGCGATTCTCGTAAGCAGGTAACACTGTGATCCCTCTAATTGAATTACTGGAAATTAACGATTCTAAATAATAGTTTAAGTACCTACAAGGTAAGTAGAATGGATGGTGCTCTTCCTCTACTTAAGCACCCAAAAACGTTCGGTTCCCTTCGTACCGTTTTGGTCTTGGCGGGAGGTTGAAGGGCATTTCGACAACGATTTTTTGTCCGCACATCTGGTTCTTCTAGTAGTTTATGTCCACGGGTTTTTCGGCAGGGGAGTTCGTGCCGTAGCACCTTGCTTAATTTTTCGAGGAAATATCCGTACTCTTAAAGGATGCCTATCATTCTTAAAATAGTTGCTTGAGGCGCCGTGGCACGCTCCGGCGCGGCGGGCGGCTGGCCAACTCGCAACGCGCAATGGCGCCTACAAACCTAAGGGGATACTTCAAGCATTGCGCAATGCGTAAAATATCCCCTTAGGTTTGTAGGCGTTAGTGCGCGTTTCGTGCCGGTAGCAGAGTACGCCGCTCCGCTCTGTGTTATGACTCGTAATATTTAAAATCGCGGAGTCGGTGTTTTTCAGTTCATGATTTTGAAATTTGTGCACACTCTGCGTGGATTTTCCTCATTTAAATTGATGAAAAAAATTGTATTTTAGGAAAATATAAAATGTGCTTTGTAAAAATCACGGTGATTCTGTGTCAAACTTAATGATTTCCAAAGCACTTTAATGTTTTCTTTTATATTTTGTGCTTTTACTGTGCTTCAGCGCGGTGTCCGCGCAACCAAACGCTCGAAATCGGACGTATATGACTCTTCTTGGTTTGTCTCCCATTTGTATTCATTTTTAGATAGTTTCTTTCAACAAAACTTTTATTTTCCGCGTGGACGTAAACTACTGGACAAAACAGGTGCGCGGACAAAAATCGTTGACGGAATGTCCTGAAACCTGGCGGGAAGTTTGAAATAAAATGCCAATATCGTGATATCCAATTCTCATCGGTCCAAGGGTCCTCTGTACAGGGGGACATTGGACCAATTAAACCAGGGCACCGAGGCTGAAACGGAACGTATGGGATGGAGCGTTTTGTCGATTTTAGATGGTCTGTAGCTGAAGAGCGTACCTTTGTCTCACTTACCGTGGTCTTGATAGATTCTATAGGTTAAAATTTCTGAAACAGCAGCCTGTGACAATGGTGATATCAAAAACATAGGAGGAAAAACGGGAAACAAGGCTAAAAATTACACATAAAAAAAACCCGATACATTTCGGCCCAAAACTGAGCCATTTTCAGTCGGAAGAATAAAAATAAAAATAAAATATAAAAATTCCGAATAGAAACCTGCAGACTACATGATGGCCGAGAAAAAAAATAAAAAAAATGGTTTTTTTTCGGCCATCATGTAGTCTGCAGGTTTCTATTTGAAATTTTTATAATTCATTTTTATTCTTCCGACTGAAAATGGCTCAGTTTTGGGCCAAAACGTCTCGGGTTTTTTTGTGTAATTTTTTGCCTTGTTTCCCGTTTTTCCTCCTATGTTTTTGATAGATTCTATATGACATAGATATATGGACTATTTTACAAATATCTAAGTTGCTATTCCACGAGCAGTCTAGCTGTACAGCCTGACAGTTTGCTCACGCGCCCAGACTGAACAGTCGGCAACGAGCCACTATTATTAAGCCCACGATTGTACTGTACAGCATAGAGTACATAGAGTCGTAATGTGAATGGGAGAGTTGAGACCATGTCCTGGACGACGGGTTCCGAGCCCGGTGTGCGCCGAGCTTCGGTAACTTTTTCGATCCAAAATGGCGATGTAGAATACGTGGTGATTCCTATCCTCTTTGTGTATATTGTATGGCCGGGTCCCGTACATCGCAATAACAATCGATTATGTATCGACAAAAAAACCCGGCGTGATACAAAAGTCTCGGAATTCGGGAGCTGGAAAGCTTTGGTGGTCCCAGCACTCCCTCTCACATTACGACTCTATGTACTCTATGTTGTAGTCGGACTGCTCGAGTAGTTCATGATGGACTGAACCCAGCGGTGCCAACTTCCGGAGATCGCTACTGCGTAAAGTTAAGGAGCGTCATGTCATGTAACGAGTTTACAGGCGAGAGAGAACGTTGCCAATTGCACCCGCATTTCACATTATTTAGCGGTAACTTTGTACAATTCGATAAAAATATAAAAAAAATTAAAATGTATTGACAAAAGAGATTAATTCCTCGGAATTTTACTCAGAGATAATCTGAAGAATGCTTCTTGACGCAGTTTTACTGGTGCTTGAGGCATTACTAGGAACAATACTCAAGGGGTGAGAATGTAAAAGATCAAAAATGACTCCTTTTTTTCTTAAACGATTTCTTCATGTGTCATTTAGAAATTGTGTGAAATAGATTAGAGGAAACATGTCGGATAATTTAAACCATCCAAGAAATCGACAAGACTCTCATGCACATGTGCACTGTAAGATTTGTCATGCTTTTGAATGTACACATGACAGTGGTCATGCTAATTTCATAAATTTGTATTTTTAAAAAAAGTAAGAGGAAAACAACAACAACGACAAAAAACAACTAGGCATCCCATAAAACAACCTTAGTCGATGGAAGCATTGACGATAAAACTTTTCAATTTAAATAATTTAACTTCCGTCGGATAGACCGGACGACAAAAATTTGACCGGCAGTTTGATCAGATATTTTCAAATGGTAAAAACATAAATCCATACATTTATACACTAATCAATCGAATCATTTTAATTATTTACGTATGGGAAACGCTTTACTCACGCACACACAGTCTGCGCTCGTAGCATGAACTAAATACGCGGTGGCGATTTCTGGCAAGTTGGTAACGCAGCTTTATTTTAATTTGAACTAATGATAAGTACTTGATCCACGGCTAGGACTGCCACTACGATTCATATCGATTTTTTATAATGTAGATTTAAGTGAATGAAATTCAATGTTACCAACTTTTATTGATTGCCACTGCGCATACGGTGTGTGTGAATGTAAAACGCTGGAACCAGCCGTGACCGAACACAAAGATTGTGCTTTTCACTTCGGCTATATTTTGGCCAAAGAGGAATTATTGGGCGGCACGTGGTTCCCGCAAATTACAATACTCGCATAATAGCACTCATGGAAGACTTAACAAAACAACATCACAGCTTAATAACATGCCGTTCAAAGGACAACCACAAATTCGGTCCTTCGAATGATGCCATTAGCTCCAAAATAGCATTTGCAACGGAAAAATCGCGATACATTGAAATCAAGTCGCGATTTTTTACGATTTTTTGGCGATAAAATTGCCATCAGGGCTATCAATATCTGGGCGATTATCTTCAATCTTGTCACGATGTCATGTCTTTAAAATTGCATTCGATAAAATCGAAATTTCATATCAATTCATCACGATTTTTTGTTGTATAGTACTGTGATTAATCGCCGTCGATAAAATCGCGATTCCATTGCAAATGTATGCTATGGAAATGCAACGTATTGCAATTTTTCATTCGATAATATTGCAATAAATCGACGTAGATAAAGTCGCGATACATTCCCAGATTAACTCACAACTTATCGCAGTCACTGCTACTTCGTAGATTCGACGCTCTCATATACGAAACCTTGTCACCATTCCTTCAACGACTTTGCGTGTTGCATGCGGGATAAATGAAGGAAATGTGGAAAACAAAATTGAGGAAATTTTACAGGACTGTCTGCAGAGTCCGAGCTCCTTAAACAATTTCGTTCATGGACTTTGAGGTGACAGTAGGGTTTTTCCCGATGTTACCTCAAAGTCTGCATTATTAATATATTTGTATTGCCTCAAAATCTGTCAAATATCCTCAAAAAAATGCTTGGCACTAAGTTACTGCCTACCCAGAAAAACTATCAGAAATTTTGTTAATACAATATTCCTTCGACGTTTGAGAACAACAAACCTTTGATAACACTAAAGATAAAGATGAAACCAAAATAAATCAAATAAACCTGCGGTTACCGCGTTGATGCTGTTTAGCTAAGTCTTTTTTGGCGCGAGTATAACAAAAATAAAAAAGGAACTGAAATGGAATTCACTAATCCTCCTCGGGGCCCATCATCATCATGCGCAGTTTTTTCTTGGCAACTTTGGAATGCACAATGTCGATGGGCTTCGTTGTGTCGTAGAGCGAGGGAGCTTGCAAAATGATAAGACACGTTCCGATGACACAAGCGAAAAGGAATAGCCATAAAAATAATCTGTCTATAACCATAGCTACGTATTTCCAGTCTTCTATCACCTGCGAACAGAAGGGCGACAAAAGCATTAAACGATGCGCTTACAATGCAAACTACAATATTATATTGTTATGTTCGATGCGTAAATCTATCGTCTTAAAAGATTCACACTCTGTAAGAAATCCCTCGGAGCATTTCGACGGTGAAATTACCAATCCAAGTGTCTCAGTGTGCGACGGTTCAGATCTCCTGTCATCTTTTTTTTTTTGACAAGGCCTGATCATCGTTTTTATCACACAAAGTTTTCTTATTTTTCGCATGTTACAGGATGTTCTCTAAAAAATTCCATACCCCTTTTGCCATTCACATTCCTTCCGCGATCGGCCTGCGATCGGTGAATTGGCCGATCGAGCATTTTCTACACACCTGCTTGGCTCTCTCTTGCCTCCCTCTTGCTGTACAATACGAGAATGAGGTTACAACGATTTTAGCGATAACCGGAGACAAAAGACTCCCCACTAGTATCTTAGCAATGGTGGAAGCTTTTACTTTCAGGACTTCAACATGCTTCCAGGACTTTATGTCCACCTACCTTTCGTCCATTAAATAAATTTCCACCGCTATTTATGTCCACTAAACGTTAAGTCCAGTCTTTATTAAGTCCACATGATTTAATGTCCAACCATGAATATGTCCAAAATTTTCCAAATTGGGGACATGTTATGTCCACATTTTTTTCTTCTCATTTAACCACCTCAAAACCACCACAAAACCACCACAAAACCACCTCAGGAACCACCTCAAAAATAAATGCATACTACTACTACCTTCATTCTTAAAAACATTTCATTCGTGAATCAAGTCATGAAAGAGAACAGACTCTAAGAGCAGATAAAAACATATGTTCATGTGTACACTGTACTGATATGATAAGATGAAAACCAAAGTGGGAGCCTAGGAAACGCTCCAATGCCAAATTAAAAATTTTTCAGTAACAAATGCAGTCAAAATTGACAGTCCTCTTTAACTAGTTATTTCGTGAGAATCTTGTAGGATACTGTGCAGTGTGCAACGCCTCTGACGCGAAATAGTTGCTTAAAGCGTTGCGGCGCGGCAGGCAACCAGCGTGACACGCGCACTGGCGCCTACAAACCTAACGGGATACTTCACGCGTTGCGCAATGCGTGAAGTATCCCCTTAGGTTTGTAGGCGCCAGTGCGCGTTCTGCGCTGCTAACACGCCGCTCCGCTCTGTGTTAGGCTCTAATATTTAAACTAGCGGAGTCAGCGTTTTTCAACTCATGATTTTGAAATGTTTGCACTTCTGCATTGTTTATTCCCTTTTAAACTGATGAAAAAGAAATATGTACTACTGGAAAATATAATGTGTTTTTTGTAAATATAATAGCGGTTCCGTGTCAAATTTAATGATTTCCAAAGCATTCAAATTTATTCTTTTATGTTTTGGGCTTTTACTGTGCTGCAGCGTGGTGTAAGCGCAACTAAACGCTCAAAATTGGACGTATTTGACTCAAGCAGGTCGATTTACAAATAAGTTAAAAACCGAAAAGAAGAAATTAACATTTCATTTAAAATATGAGTTACGATAACAACACCCATTCTCTCATAATTTTCTCATTTCGATATTGTCAATATAATTTTACAAACGGACTAAAACATGACGCTTGAATTTGATTTTAGTGGACTTTACATTTGTGGACTTAACTTAGTGGACGTTTAAGTAATGGACTTAACAATAGTGTGGGCTTTAGAACTGAGGACGTAAAAATTGTGGACAAAAAGTCTGTGGGCGTAAAAAAAGCGGACATAAAGTCCGTGTACCCTTCAACATTCAACTGTTGACCTACCTACTTGGTCGATGGTTAACAACGTGTTGGCAGTTTCGTTATGTAAACTTGTTTAGCTCATGACGACACCCTAAGCTCATCATCTACCATGTAGGAAGGTAAGGAAGGTTAACAGCCTAAAAAAGAGTGGCACCTGTTGCTCCCTCATAAATACCCAAGGAAGTGTTGAATCCCAGAGAGTAAAAACTTCCACCTGTCGCCAAGAGGCCAGTGGAGAGTATCTCATCTCTGCGGGGTGATTATTGAAATCGATAGACAGAGCTATAGACAAAGGAGACATAAGGAGTAAAGAGCGATCCTATTGGTTGCAATGAGTGCTTCTTATAGACTAAGAGGGTAAATGATAGACTAACTATCGGGTCTCTCGTGGGTTGCCGTTAGTTAGTCTATTACCTACGTCCTTTGTCCATTGCAACCACCCGCTTCCACCAATAGCATCCCTCCATATCCTTTTTGTCTTCATTGTCTATTGCTTTGTCCATCAATTTCAATAATCAGCCCGCTGGCGATAATTTTAGAAACTGTGAGTGGCGATTACTTACATTTTCAAATTTATCTTTATTTTTTACATGTTGAGCAATAAACTTGGCGTCCTCGATGGTCTTCTCGATCTCGCGGAGCGGGCGCTCGAAGACGGGGCTGCGTCCTGCCAGCCGGGGGCAGAGCGCGTTCCCGCACCCTCCGCCAGGGGCGCTGAAGAGGTCGTCCTCCGGCCCGGGCAGCGGCGACGGCGGCGGCGGCTCCTCGAAGCACGGCAGCGGCAGTGGCACCACCTGAAGAAAGAACTCATATTAATCATTTTTTAATAAGACACAAAAACACTATCTCAAGAATATTTGGAGTGCTCAATCCGACGCTAAAGCTGGTTTCTATAGTCGTTCGTTAAATTGAACCCTTCGTCGCTCCTCTCTCTTTGGGAGGCTCCATCAGAGGCGGATCCAGCAATTTGGCAACCCCGGATTTCCTCCATTCAAAGTTATGCTAAATAAACGATTCTTGACGGAGCACTTGGCCCCTACAAGAATCGATACATTTCCATAGGTTTAAATGGAGAAAAGACAATGTTGCCAATTTGCTGGATCCGCCAATGGGCTCCATATCAATGGCTAAGGAACAATACCGTTTGCAAACTGGCGATTTTACGGGACGAAGAAAAACCTTCGCTATTTTGGTAATTTTAAGGTTCGATTCGGAATTTTTTATACATTACAGCCAAGGTGAGTGAAACGTAGGTATGCTGCTCATAGGCGGATCCAGACACTTCGAACGGGAACGGGGGCGGGAAGTGGGTCTGGGGGCTCATCCCAGAAAATTATCGAAACTTTAAAGCATCTAATGCGTAGTTTGGGTCAATTTCTTCATGAATAATTACCAAATTTAAGCGCCCTCCCTTCTTCTTGCTTCCGTTCCTTCCTATCCTCTACTTTCTTCCCGCCTAGGATGATGATGCCCTATTCAAGCAGCTTAAATCGACGAAACGCTCTTTCCGTTCGATTCGTTTCACACTGGAAAAAAAACACATTGGATCTGGAGTCCAGACTCTTGAAAACATTGACAAGAAAAAGAACTCTTGATTTAATCAGATTTAAGCTTAAATCAAAAGGAAATCCGCTCAAATTAAGAGGCTTGGTTCTTGATTTAAGCTTAAATCTGATTGAATCAAGAGTATTTTTTCTTGTCGATGTTTTTAAGAGTCTGGACTCTAGAACCAATGTGTTTTTTTCCAGTGCAGCATTGGTGGGAAATTAAAAATGAAATGCCACTTTTGTGATATCCAACTTTCATGGGTCCAATGATTTCCTACGCAGACTTGCCACTATTTGGGCCATATTAATGGTGTTTTCCCCCTGGATATGGACCTCTCTGGAAAAAAAAAAAACACATTGGATCTAGAGTCCAGACTCTTGAAAACATTGACCAAAAAAAGGACTCTTGATTCAATCAGATTTTTGCTTCGATCAAAAGAAAATCCACTCAAATTAAGGTGCTTGGTCCTTGATTTAAGCTTAAATCTGATTGAATCAAGAGTATTTTCTCTTGTCGATGTTTTGAAGAGTCTGGACTCTAGTTCCAAAGTGTTTTTTTTTTTCAGTGCTGTATTTACGTGCTCATGTCTGTGTGATGAAAAAGCGAATGAATAAATAAGTATGATTGTTATTATTACCACAGGGGCCGGGGCGGAGTTGGGCTCGTAGCGCGACGGCGGGGGCTCCGGGATGTCGTACTCGGGGCTGTACTCCTCGGGGCCACCGTAGGCGAGGTACTTGTCGGCGCCGAGGTCCGCGTCGAACACCCCTGTCAGGACGCCCTCCGGCTTGTCGTCGTCGATCGAGTCGTCCTTGTTCGGCCGCTCGATCATCAGCACCTTCGGCAGCACCTGGATGAACACCTTGTACCAGAAAGGCGTCATCTTGTGCGTCACCGGCGACCTGAAACAAACCATACCCATCAGCAACATCGTCGGCTTCCTTTATCGGGGAACTTAACCTGGATCTACAGTGCTTTTGCGAACGATTTGAATATCGATCGATGGTTCCTGCATCATACAAAATTCTTTCAAAGATCCCTAGAGGCTATTATCCGGGGTGCGTCACAGGGCCGGATTAAGGGGGTGGCCACATGGGCCGTAGCCCATGCCGGCAAATTTTGCAATTTTTTTAAATGTAGGTATAAAAAAAATCGGATTCAGAAAAAAAGTATCAATGAGAAAAGGGGACAAAATTTCTCTTTCCTGAGAGTATAGTAATTTCTAATTTTGTCGTTTTTCGGTGATACAAGAGATTGCATCCTTAATTAGTCGAGTTAAAAGAGGATGAGGAACGAAACACGCAATTTGGCCTGGAGCTTAGCGCAGAGAGGAATGATGACGAGGACTTGAGATGAAAAGGACAAGCCTTCGGCGCGGCGGTCGGCATGTAACACATATTAGCGCCTACAAGACTGCATGAATACTTCACCTATTGCGCCAAACACAGTGTGACTCCTGTGTCCCTCCTCGATGACTCTCAGAAGTTGCAACTTGCGAGTGGCTACCATACTTGACTCTCACCACTGCTATCTATAAAGATCAGATCTTGGCAGTTCGCGCCTAATTTTCAGCTGGGTTGCAGATTTTCAACCCAGAGATCTGGTCGATGTTACCCAAAGAAGAAGTAACCAAAGTATATACACCGCAATGAATATGTTGCATGTGTGAGGAATTTGCGATTTGACTGTTGATTCTTATGTAAAAGTTTGCGTGAAACACGATGGTGCCACTATAGTTTTCTCTGAAACAACTCCCAAGCTCAAAAAAAGCTCTCAAGTTGAGGGCAAAATGGAGGGGATATCCCACGCTATCCTGAGAGTCCACCTCTACATCAAAACAAACTCTCCATACAAAGATAGGGAGCAAATACATTGACACGGCTGCCACTTTATTTGGGGACCCCAAAACTGAAAACACGGCAACACTGTCGATGTATTTGCTCCCTATCTTTGCATGGAGAGTTCGTCTTGATGTAGAGGTGGACTCTCAGGATACCGTGGGATATCCCATCCATTTTGGCCTTAACTTGGGAGCTTTTTTTGAGCTTGGAAGTTGATTTTTGGGAAAACCAGTAGCACCATCGTGTTTCTCGCGAACTTTTACATAAGAATCAACAATCAAATCGCAAATTCCTAACACATGCAACATCTCCACTGTGTTCTACTTCCCATAGGATGTCGGTTACTTACTCTTACTAAGAAATGAAACTTCATTGGTGTAACTGTTTTTAACTTACCTAAAATTAACATTGAGAACGATGATAGTCACGACGACGGAGAGAGTGACGAGGACCATGGTAAAGAGGAGATATTTGCCTAGGAGAGGGACGGTGAGGGAGGTGGGAGGGATGATCTCGGCGAGGAGGAGGAAGAAGACGGTGAGGGAGAGGAGGATGGAGATGCAGAGGGAGACCTTTTCGCCGGAGTCGGAGGGCAGGTAGAAGACGAGGACGGAGAGGAAGGAAAGGCCGATGCACGGGATGATGAGGTTCACCGTGTAGAAGAGGGTCTTCCTCCTCAGGGTGATGTTGAACATGATGTCCTGGTAGGGCTCCTCGCAGCAGGAGTAGAACTTCTCGTTCCGCGTCGCCGGCACCCGCATGACGTCCCACTCCACCGAGAGGTAGTAGTCCTGCAGGTCGATCCCCATCTCGATCTCCGTCGAGTCCGGCGTCTGCGAAATGTGCCGCAGATCCACCTGAAACCCCAACCAAATGCGATTTCAGACAAACAGACGAAGAAGCTAGCATGACATTTGCAGACGAAAAACTAGGAGCAGCGGGTTGATTGTTGAAAGTGGTGGACAAAGCTATAGACAAATATGACAAAAAGGACATGGAGGGATCCTTTTGGTTGAAGCGGGTCCCTGGTAAAAATTGGCAGTAGAATCTGTGTTCCAAAATACCATATACCTACAGCCGGCTGTAAGATTTCCAATAGCTTCTATAGCCGGCAATAGAGTCCCTTTATACCCAGAATTAAGACAACTCGATTATCAGCTGACTGGCAGCCGGCCTTGGCTGCCCAAGTAAAAACGTTCCTTGACTTAGTCACGGAAATGAGCTGATTTCCTTCATTTTTCCAAGGAAATCACTTGATTTCCTTGGAAAAGTCACGGAAACCAGATGATTTCCTTGGACGAGTGAAGGAAATCAAATGATTTCCTTGGACCAGTGAAGGAAATCAAATGATTTCCTTGGACGAGTGAAGGAAATCGGATGATTTCCTTGACTCGTCAGTCATGGAAATTACGCGATTTCCCTGGCTGTCATGGAAATGATGCGATTTCCCTGACACTGTCAAGGAAGTCAAGTGAGTTCCCTGGAGTCAAGGAACGTCAGTCATGGAAATGACGCGATTTCCCTGATACCGTCAAGGAACTCAGGCGAGTTCCCTGGAGTCAAGAAAAGTCAGTCATGGAAACTACTTCAAACTTGAAAAACTGGTTCTCACGAGTAAAAGAGTTTACATAATTTATGATAGCCTAGAATTGGGGGGGGGG